ACGAAATAAAGAACAGTTTCAAAGCTAGGAGTTCCCCCGGGGACAACCAAGACACAGATGTGCTGTTCATCACATGAAAATGAAAATATAATTGTGAGCCATGTGTTAACAGTTCCATGTTCATAACATTTTCACATCAAAATTTCCTATTATTTGTAACCAGTATGTAACTGAAAGGCCATAAGTTAACAAGTGACCAGCTCATCAAAGATATGACCTGCACATAGACTTTTGAATATCTATACAGGGACAGTTAATCTTTGCCAACAGTGCAAAACATTAAACTTGTGCTTTAGTGACGGCCTCTCATAAGAGGTCTGTGTGTCACCCAGCATGGCGGAGTTAAACTGCTCACTGCTGTTACCTATCTATTCTTCATTAGGGTACTAGCTTCACTGAAGAACACAAGATTATCATGACCTCTGGCGTTTTCCCTGCATTCACTTTGGAAGCAGCATCTAAGCAAAACATGGGGAGACCATGTAGAAGTAGACCAGGTAGAAGCGGCCTGTATAATCATCTCTTTAAAGCGTGCATCCAGCAGGCAGTGGTAAACAGTGAACAACATTAATAAAAGTCACAGACGTGTGAGTAATACTGGTGGCATTTAATGCTCTTCTCACTTATTTACGTGACTCAGAGTCAGACACACTACATTTTTTTCAGCATGGAATAAACAAACTCATCAAAATCTTCCTTGCAGCACACAACCCAAAACGTTCTAAATGACAGTCTCTTCCCACCCAAAGCATGAATTAAAAGCAACGAAAAGCTAGCAAACTTTCTTCTGAACCGAACAGAAAAAGCCCAGAGCAAATCTTCTCCAAGACAGAATCATGAAACCCACCAAGGGTAAAGGTTAGAGCTGAGAGGCCTGTGGAAATGTACCCCTGATTCTTTTCTTCAAACAGCCTGTGTATTTCTCAAACCTTGCTTCTTAGAAACCTTCTTTGCACATACAGTACTTATGTGTAAACAGTCAAGTTCAGTCGCGCCTCATTCTCTGGAAAATGTGTGTCACAATTAAACGTGATGGGCAAAGCATTCCCATTATATAATTCAGGAGGGGAAGAAAAATATCAGCCATTTCCTAAATTAGTTCATTCAATAGTTTCCCCCCGGAAGCCTTTGAAGTGTCTATCCATTTGAATTTTAAAAAGAAAAAGAAACAAGAGGAAGGAGGGAGGTCCTGAAATGAACTGAGGCATGCACAGAAGGTTGTCTGATATGACTTAAACAGCTAAATGAAAAACCGTATATATGGTCTGTATATATTTTTTAAAATAAATTTACAAGCAGTCCCTGGAGATTGCTAAATTTAGTCTTTCTAAACACTTTACTGTGTCATCAAAGTTCCCTTCCAGGTTTTTCACTTTGTTGCAGGGAGGGAAGGAGTGGGGTTTATTAAACAAAAGAAAAATAAACTTAAGTCCCAACTGGAAATACACGAAACAGCTCTATGACAAAGCATCTTCCCAACTTAACAGAAGTCCATGCAACCTCGGATAAAACCAAATTGCTTTGTACACTGCACAATGCCTTGTACATTTGATCTCACAAACACTGCTCACTAGCATAGATAGCCTCATAAGTAAATGCACATGCTAGTAAGCGCTGCAGTCACAATTATTGACTGTGAGGAAGATCCTTTGTGATTATGTTAACACCTTCAGTTTGGCCATCACCATTGCCAGGACACAGACACAGAGAATGGTGTTTCAAATTAAAACAGACACTAACACCAAGAAAGTCAGTCAGCATGTACACAGTGGAAAATCAAATTTCAAAAATATCCACATAAATCTCTTGCAGTCTATATCCCAGTCAGACATCTCTTTATATATAAACATGGCATAAAACTAGAACTGGTCAGAAAATAGGTTCTGTCTACCAGGGCCGGCTCCAGGCACCAGCTTAACAAGCAGGTGCTTGGGGCGGCCAAGGGAGAGGGGCGGCACCTGCGGCAATTCGGGGGTGGCAGGTCCCTCACTCCCTTTAGGAGCGAAGGACCTGCCGCTGAACTGCCGCCGCTGATCCTGGCTTTTTTTTTTTTTTCCCAATTGCCGCC